CTGTCATTTGTTAAGTTTATTATGACATTGTGGATATAGAATTAAACTCGCAATCTTATTTCAACGAATCCGTTACGCCGCAACTCCGTAGAAGCCGTAAGAGGACAGGTTAAAAAAAAGAAGAGGTCTTCTGAGGAACGGTGGGGGAGCATATTCTGTCCACAGGAGAAGGAGAGGGGGGGAGGAGAAAAAGAGGAACAAGGCAGAATAGCGGGGATTGGTAAATCGATGAGATATTGATAGCACCTGCGAGCGGGTATCTATTGGCTGATGTGGGAAGCCGTCCTCCGATCCAGGTTTTTCGTGCTTCGGCGGCTCCAAGGGGGGGAGGAGCGAGAATCTCGGGTTGCGGAGGCTACACACCCGTTCTTGCGTGGCGTTTTTTTTTTTTTTTTCCCTCTCTTTTGGCACCGGTGCCGGACGTGGGGAGGTTTTTTCTTCACAAAAGCAGGGCGAAGATGCATATTTTGAAGATGCATTATAGGAGTAGGTAAAATAAAACCAAACAAGATAAGAGCCCCTCTATTTTTCTATATACTCGGGGAGTTGGCCCCCTCCTCCCTGGTCCAAATCCCGTGACAAAACCGTCTCCATTTCCAATGCGATGCGATGCGATGCGATGCGATGCGATACGAAGGAAGGGGGATGAGAAGCCCACAGGCTGCGGATTCCGGCCGGCTCTAGGCTGGTGCTGATGGGCCAATGGGTGGGCGGCACGGCACCGGAGCTAGGCTGGAAGAAACAAGGGATGAGGACTTGGGATGGAGGGAGACAGGCTGGGAAAAACTGGTCTGCAGTGCTTGGTGCAATGCTTGGTGCGCCGTGCTGGATGTGTAATAGCCCGTCGTAAGCATATGCAGAGCTCGAAGCATGAGAACGAAGATGGTGGACCGGACAGGCAGCCAGCGCTTAGGCTGGATCTGGACATTGGATGCTGCTGAGCTCCAGGAGGGGCAGCGCCCGAATGCGGCTGCCGAAGCGCACCTGTAATAGAATTTTTCGTCTCTTTGCGCTGCTGCGAAGCCACCAAAAGGCTGATGCGGCCCCCCCCCTGGACCCGGAACCTGGGCTTGGGCCAAAGTGCCTGGAGACGTGCAAAACTAAGTTCAGCGAGGGGGCCACTAACGAGCCTGGACAAGGACGCTACCGAAGCAGTTTTGGGATGCTACAGCAGGCTAGGTAGGTACCTATCCCTGGCTGACGGTGATGTGAGAGCGCAGCATTCCATCATGAGCTGACTCACTCCGGGCAATGATGCAGAGACAGGAAGAAAAAAAAAAAAAAAAAAAAAAAAAAACTGAATTGGCGGAAGAGGAGAGGCTGCATGGCGGTTTATGCAGGCATTTTCCTTCGTGATATCACAATGCAGGCTCTCGCATGCCAAATGGACGCAGTGCTCGATTCGATATCAGCGTGATACAACACGCCCCCAGAGCTTTTTAGCACCATTTTTTCCTGCTGGCATCAGCGAGCGAGCCGGCCAAGCGTCGCCCCAGCACAGAAAAAAACCCACTCTTCCCTTCTTTTTTCGCCGGGGAGGGAAAAAAAGCCTACCTCTTCTCTTCCTTCCACCACCCCAAAAGCGATCCCCGTCAAAGACCTTTCTTTTGACGACGACCTCTATTTTCCAACGGCGACCGGCGATTAACCATCATCGTCCATTTATTTATTTTTTCTCCATCGACCTGACGATTCAGAATCAGCCACCCGTTTGACGGGCCTTATCTGACGCGACGAACACGGGCTTTGCCTCTGGCTCCGCCCTATACAAGAGCGAAAGTGAGAGAGTGAGAGAGAGAGAGCGAAAAAAAGAGACGACGATCACGAATCGCCTCGACGCCCCCTTTTCCGGGCCTGAAGCCATCGAGGACTTTTGCAATATCATTCCCAGCGACGAGCCCTTTTCGAAGGCAGCCACGACGATTTAAATAACAGCGAACAGCCAAATAGGCATTTGCGTCTCGGCGGTGTTTTTGCTCCCCAGCCCGAGCCCCTGCCATCTTGCCACGAGAGCCTGTCATCGCGCGTTTAGACTCGTTTCTGATCCTGCCTGCGCCCTCTTTTTTTTTTTTAACCTTCTTCGCGTTGGTTCTGTCGTTGACGAAGCTACAAGCCTCGTTTAGCTGTAAGTACTTTTTTGAACCCTTTTCCCTCACCCCACTTCGGCGATGGCGCGCGCTCTTTCTCGCAATTCCCGCTGTTTCGGCATCGAATCACCATCACCAAGTTGCCCCCCTCCTTTTTAGGGAGGAGAGTGAGAGGGGGAAATAAAAGAAGGAGAAAAAAAAAGATGTGATGACGGAAAAACACCACTGCAATGGGCTTTTCGATGGCACAGGCTAGGGGTCGACAGCAGTTATCAAGATGTTGGTCTGCTTAAAGTTACGCCCTTTTCTCTCTCTCTTTTCTCTCTCGACTTGGGAGGAGGGGAGGGGGGGAGCTCCCTTCGATGACTAAACCCGCACCATTGATGAATCTATTGATTTCCCTTCTAACATTTGATGATAGGATTCTTTATCACTTCGTTACCAGAAAGTGCTTATTGTCTAGTGTATCATCATCTGTCGTACTGCTCTTTTTCTTAGTCGACGGCCGCATCATTTCTGCGCATCGGCCTGCTCCCAGCACGCCCTCCCCTTCTTCCCCCCCTCCTTCGCTTTGTTCAACGCGCAGCCTTTCTCGGCTTCATCCATTCGATAAACGCGAGCCGTTTCTCCCACGGGGAGCATCTCTAAGATGGCAGACCAACATGAGGTCGATCTCGATTCTATAATTGACCGGCTGCTCGAGGTCCGAGGCAGCCGGCCCGGAAAGCAGGTCCAGCTCCTCGAGAGTGAGATTCGCTTCCTATGCACCAAGGCCCGTGAGATTTTCATTTCTCAGCCCATCCTCCTTGAGCTGGAGGCTCCTATCAAGGTATGCCGGCCCATTCTTGTTTAATTGCTCATTGGCAATCTGCTATTGTGGTGGAAGAAAAAAAAAGAAAGAAACAGGAAATCAGGTTTTTTTTCCCTTTGAGTAAAGCAGGATGCTGAATTGGTTCTTGATAGATCTGCGGCGATATTCACGGCCAATACTACGATCTTCTGCGTTTGTTTGAGTATGGTGGCTTCCCCCCCGAGGCCAACTACCTGTTCCTGGGCGACTACGTCGACCGTGGCAAGCAGTCCCTCGAGACCATCTGCCTGCTCCTCGCCTACAAGATCAAGTACCCCGAGAACTTCTTCATTCTGCGTGGCAACCACGAGTGCGCCTCCATCAACCGTATTTACGGCTTCTACGATGAGTGCAAGCGCCGCTACAATATTAAGCTTTGGAAGACGTTTACGGATTGCTTCAACTGCTTACCTATTGCCGCCATTATTGATGAGAAGATCTTCACCATGCACGGAGGTCTCAGCCCCGATCTGAACTCGATGGAGCAGATTCGCCGTGTCATGCGCCCCACCGATGTATGTTCCCTCCTCCCTCCTCCCTCCACCATGTCCACCCATAGATACTGGCTCTACTACTCTGTGGTCTGGCTATCTATTCTATCTGCTCCCATCTCCCTAACCCCCCCGGGGGGCGGCACATGAGACTTTGTGCTGCTGCTGTTGAGACGCCTGCTAGGACGCTTGCTAATATACCGTGCTCTTTAGATCCCCGATTGCGGTCTGCTGTGTGACCTTTTGTGGTCCGATCCCGATAAGGATATTACTGGCTGGAGCGAAAACGACCGTGGTGTGTCCTTCACATTTGGTCCGGACGTGGTCTCCCGTTTCCTGCAGAAGCACGACATGGACCTCATCTGCCGTGCCCACCAGGTTGTGGAAGATGGCTACGAGTTCTTCTCCAAGCGTCAGCTCGTCACTCTGTTCAGTGCTCCCAACTACTGTGGCGAATTCGACAACGCAGGTGCCATGATGAGCGTAGACGAGAGCTTGCTCTGCTCGTTCCAGGTTAGTACCACACCCACTTGAAAGCCTCTCCCCAAAACTATGGTAGAGATTCTAAGCTAACTTGTGACTCCTTTTTTCTTCCACTGTAGATCCTCAAGCCTGCTGAGAAGAAACAAAAGTTTGGAAGCCGGCGTTAAAAAGAGACATGACCTAACTTGGTCTGCTCTGTCTCGGCCGAACGCACGACCAAGTTCCGTCTCGACGATTTTTAACACCGCCGGCCTTTCTCTCTTTTTGACTCTCCGACTCTCTTCATCTCTACAACCTCTCACGTCGCACCGTCGCTGGGCCCTGGTGGCGAAAACGGGTTGCTTCGAGGAAAATATCAACGCCGAGCCCTTCCTGCATTAATGTATCGACTCGGCGGTTTAGCTCGCATCGCCTCTAATGTCCCAACATGCAAACTTTGTCACGACAAATGGCTGTTTCTTAGCTTCACAGATAAAATCATTCACAGAAAAAAAAATCCATTTTGATGTCACTTTAAAACCACATGCTATGCTTGTTTTTTTGTTGGTCCGATATACATTGAAGTGTTTTGTGTGTGTGAATGACAAATGACGTAGCTAGGCAGCCCCCTCTGGTTTCTGGTCTGTCTGGCAGCGGTCGACGCGCGTAAAACTGATTGAGATGCCTGCTGTGTAACCTGCAATGGGTCATGCTCATGCAGCCAGAAGGAGGTGACATATCATACTTGCGTGTAGGCAGCTTGACTTGACTTGGCTGCGTTTGGCGTGTCCGAAAAGTGGCTGAACGCTTGGGCCGTTGACAAGCGTGAGGAGTTGTTTGTTGTGTCTTATGTATGTGCATGTGATACCTCGACAAGTAATATGTATTCTTGGATATGGATCGTTGAGGGAGATTTTAGACGGATACTAGAAAAGTGATGGACGGTTATCTTTA